AGCGGTTAGACTGAACGATTATCCTTGCACATGAAGTTGTGCTGTGACATGTTGTAAACCCGTCTTGGTAAGTGGAGTTGTGCTGTTTTCTAAGTCTTCACTGCCCAAATTTTAATAACTTTATTTTACTTTAGGGTTCAATTTCTGAGTTGTCTCACTCTGCCACGTTTCAAGGGGAGACTCGTGCTTCAACTAGGCAAGGGGAGGGAAAGTTTTGCGTTTCGTATACTTATTAGATTTTTTTGGACATGGGAGGCCTCCCAGCAGGGGAATGTATCCTGCCCCTGTAAAGTAATATTGCTGATGTAGGGATACGTTTAGCAGTTTCATATGTAGATGGGATTGTTGTCAGACCTCTGTTGCGTGGTAGCTGCGATACCGACTGGGCGTGTGTTTTGGGGTTCTTGGGAGGGACCAAGCCTGACAAAGACAGATGACTCAGATGACTAAATAAGCTCTGAGACACTCAAAGTGAGTGTATTTGCCTTATTTTCCATGATAAGAATGAGAGTGATGACTATGAAAACTATCCACTCACCCCAACGGGTCGAGGCAGAAGGCCACCCACCTTGAGTTGGGGTCTGTTGGAGGTTTCTTCCTCTAAAGGGAGTTTTTCCTCTCCACTGTCGCCAAGTGCTTGCTCAAGGGGGATTTGTTGGGGTTTTCACTATACTGATGATGATAAGATCTAGACCTTACTATGTAGCGTGCTGAGATGACTTGTGATTTGGCGCTATACAAATGAATTGAATTGTACGGTCAAGTACAGGTTGACACCATGTATAATTATTTTTCCAGCCACAGCTGTTGCCTGTGCAGAGGCATAGAAATATAAACCGTCAAAGAAGCATCAGGTATTTCTTAACCACACTTTTTGTAAAATCTTAATTCATAAAAAGTGTAACTGAAATAAATGTATAGTGAAAACTACATTAAGCAAAAGCACGTTTCGGCAGACTTTTTTGTTACTAATGGACGGGGTTGATGCTGAGGTCAGTGTTTCAGACTCTGGAGTCAAAAGTAGTTCAGCTCACGTTGTTTCACTTTATAACCGTGGTTTTGTTTTGTTTTTTTCTGATAAGTGACCAAACTCCCTTTAAAAATCCAGCAGGTTAATTTTGCTTTTATAAGAACATAACATTCAATATACTGTATAACTCAAGCTGCACTAACTTAAATGTAACACCTTCTGGTTAAGTCATAGCAGTAATACATTAAGTCCAGGCATTACAGCTGATGTTGTTACAGTTCTTAAACCAAAAACAATGCAAAAGCTAAAGGCAACAGTTAAAACGGGAGCATGATGTCATCTTTGATCACACATTAAATACAGAGTCAGAAGAACAGTGAAAAGACAATTGATAAATTGGAGATAGTCTCCAGTTTTGGTGAATGCTTCCATATAATCTAAATCTTTGTGTGGTAAAAGCAATAGTGGTCACAGTATAGTAGGCTACTTTGTTCATTTTACTTTTGAGGTTTTGTTTTTGTTGATGCATCTCGGGTGCCATCTGTCAGATGCTATTTTCGGGAATTTTCCAGTATAACATCAGCAGCCAGGCGAAGCCCAGGCTTTGCCATGCG